ATACTCATTTGTTAGAGTTGCTCTTCTGTGAGGGATTCAGTAATTCTATCACTGTGCAACTTGTGTCACTTTGTTCTCATGTGGAACTCTACTTCTCCCTTCTGCCAGTTCCCTCTCAATGGAGTTAGCCTGCTGGACACAGAGCATGTCTGAGAGGACTGAGTTAATCAATGCTTCTAATCTGACTTTTATATGTCGCTGGATTCTGTAGGCTGGGTCAAACTACCCTTCCAAACTGTTGCTCTCCTGTGGCATAGGCACTGCACTAGAACAGAGGAGTACACCTGTAACCCTTCTGCTAGGTAGCGCAGGCAGCAGCCAGGGCCTGGTTCAATATCTAGGGGTTCCTTTCCATCCATCCAACACAGAACTGGCTCAAGCCCCCACCAAGTTGCCTGGGAAATTCACACCCACCCACCCCTGGGAGCCTCTGAGAGGCAATGCTTCCCCACTCGCAAGCACAAAGTCTGAGTGCAGAAAAGAAACTTTTAATGAAAGAGGGAGAGAAGTAACATGGCATTAACATGGGAAAATAACAGAGTTCATAACCAACCCACGAGTGAACGTCCCAGCTCAAGTGGATTGAGCAATGTCCTTTGCCTCTCATGCTCACAAGTCTAGCAATGTAAGTGTCCCATTCACATGCCCAACCTTTCTCCATACCCCACTCACAGTTGCTACCTTTGGTCAGGGCAGACCAGAGCTTAGAGGTGATTTTCAGAGCTCACGTCCCACCCTTGGTGGGGGGGAAGGAGGCATCTCACCCACTCGTTGGCAGTGGATTGAGCAATGTCCTTTGCCTCTCATGCTCACAAGTCTAGCAATGTAAGTGTCCCATTCACATGCCCAACCTTTCTCCATACCCCACTCACAGTTGCTACCTTTGGTCAGGGCAGACCAGAGCTTAGAGGTGATTTTCAGAGCTCACGTCCCACCCTTGGTGGGGGGGAAGGAGGCATCTCACCCACTCGTTGGCTGCCAGCTGCGTGCTCCTGCCAGTTGCCCTACTGGCCACCTGCTGCCGCTCCTGCTGGACACCTGCCAGCTGGCCATCTGCTGCCACTCCACATCCTGCTGTCTGTCTGTTGCCAATGGGTTTGGATCTGGGGAAGAGTGGCCCCCTCTACCAGGGCCTTGCTGGGCGGGAGGGGGTCTGGAGAGCTGTTGGAGGGTGGTTGGGGGTGGCAGAAAGGAGGGGGAGCCCTGGGAGTGTCTACCCCCTCAGTCTGTTCCTGCACACTCCCCCTTGGCCAGACACCCTACTCCCAGGCTATGTCTACACTGCAGGGTTTTTCTGGATACTGGAGGTACCCTTTACTTCCGGTCATGTGTTCATCTTGACCTCGGAAATACTATCCTAGGGCTGGGATTTCCTGTGCCAGGTGGGTGGGGGCTAAGGGGTCAGGAGTGTAGCTAATGGTTTCAGGGGGTGTGGCCAAGGTGTCCCTATTTTTTGGTACAGAAAATATGGTCACCAGAAACCAGTCTTACAGCTCATGCCTGGAGGGCATGTAGCCTGCTGGTTCAGAGCAGAGCAGAGCTCAGCTCAGCTCTGCTCTCCGCCCACTTCCTCCCCCGCCATCCAATCCACTTGAGTCTGGAAGGGAAAGCTTGTCCATCTGAGATTCTTTACAATGATAGTGTCTCTCCTGCAGCCACTGGTGTCATATCTTACAATTCCTACATGTAGGGTTAACATGGTTTGTGATCCCACAACAGCCAAATTAGTTATAACAGGCAAAATATCATTTTAACAATTGAGCATCCATCAGACCTAGAGCACTGACTGAACTGGATTTACATTAACACACCCAGAATTTCTTTTCCATTCCAGCAGGAACTGTATTTACATAACAACAGTTGAATACCTTACAGCAACGGTCCCCAACCATTTGGTGCTGCTGGCTGCCTGGGGGCGGGCTGCACAGGCACCACACACCCAGGGACGGGGTCCCCCATGAGCCGCGTGCCTGGGGCCAGCAACCCCATGCGCCACGCGGCCAGAGGCGGGGCCGGCGCTCCCCATTCACCGCGCAGCCAAGGGTGGGGTCACTCATTTGCCACAAGCCCAGGGTCGGCGCTGCCCATTCGCCGCGTGCCTGGGGCCGGCACTCCCCATAGCTGCATGCCCGGGGCCGGGGCAGCCAATTCTCCACATGCCTGGGGCCAGCACTCCTCATGTGCCACGTGCCAGGGGCAGCCAATTTGCTGCATGCCTGGCGCTGGCGCCCCCCATAGCTGCACACCCAGGACTGGCGCTCCCCATGTGGTGCGCACTCGGGGCCGGTGCCATGCATGTGCAGTGCACCCAGAGCAGCACCGCGCATGTGCCACGCGCCCAGGACAGGGCTGGCCCCGAGCACTTGGCGGGGGCACACAAATGCCCCGACGGACGCCATGGCACCCGCGGGCACCGTGTTGGGGACCACTGCCTTACAGGGCTAAACAACTGAGTGAGCATAACCACACCCATGATTCCTTTCCCCTTTTAGCTGGCTGCATTGGAAGCAGTGATTCAGACCCTGCTTACACACCTAAGCAGGCTGGGTCAAGCAGCATTTTTATGCTGCCAACTTCATATATCCCTGGACTTAGCAGGCTATGTTGAACAGCACTTCCAGACTGCCTCCCTCATAAGCCCAGGTCCAGCACATCCCTATTCCCACTTTCATGTTACAATTGTTAGGCAGTAACCCACCTGAAGGGCAAACTCCACAGGATTTTGGGCATTACAGTAATATTTAGCTTAGGTCTGAGAAGCATCACTGCAAAGCAATGGGAAAGCCAAGAATACCCACAAGTTATAATATGAAAGCTAGCTTAAATTTGATTACAAAGGATCAGGTTAAGCAAACTATAACTGATCACACAAGTCAGGTCAGATGGCCATACAGAGAGAGAGAGAGAGAGAGAGAGAGAGAGAGAGAGAGAGAGAGAGAGGTTCTCACCACTCCAGAAAGCTTGAATTAACCAGGGTTCCCAGCTGCTGTAGCTGAGGGTCTGGAGTGCTGGAGACAGGCAGAGTCCCCAAGGATATGTCTACACTACCCCGCTAGTTCGAACTAGCGGGGATAATGTAGTCATCCACAGTTGCAAATGAAGCCCAGGATTTGAATTTCCCAGGCTTCATTTGCATGAAGCCGGCCGGCGCCATTTTTAAATGCTGGCTAGTTCGGACTCCGTGCCGTGCGGCTACACGCAGCACAGACTAGCTAGTTCAGATTAGGCTTCTAATCCGAACTAGCTAGTCCGTGCTGCGTGTAGCCGCGCGGCACAGAGTCCAAACTAGCCGGCATTTAAAAATGGCACCGGCCGGGGCTATATTGTCCTTTATAATAAGGCTCCTATATACCACTTTGGCTATGTGAAGGTGCCTTAACATTTAAAAATGGCGGTGCCCAGCTTTATGCAAATGAAGCCGGGGAAATTCAAATCCCGAGCTTCATTTGCAACTGCGGATGAATACATTACCCCCGCTAGTTCGAACTAGCGGGGTGATGTAGACATACCCCAACTGCAAATGAAGCCCGGGATTCTTTTCCGGAAAAACTTGCCAGCTGTCTACACTGGCCACTTGAATTTCCACAAAAGCACTGACTTCCTACTGTAAGAAATCGGTGCTTCTTGCAGAAATACTATTCTGCTCCCGTTCAGGCAAAAGTCCCTTTTGCGCAAAGCTTTTGCACAAAAGGGTCAGTGTAGACAACTCAGATTTGTTTTCCGCAAAAAAGCCCCGATTGTGAAAATGGCAACTGGGGCTTTTTTGCGGAAAAGCGCGTCTAGATTGGCACGGACGCTTTTCCGTAAAAAGTGCTTTTGCGGAAAAGCGTCCATGCCAATCTAGATGCTCTGTTCTGAAAATGCTTTTAACGGAAAACTTTTCCGTTAAAAGCATTTCTGGAAAATCATGCCAATCTAGACGCAGCCAGTCAGTCAGAGAAGATGAAGATGCAATGGAACTGATGCACATTTTGGATCTAGACATCACAACACACTTTACCTGAGCATGAGTAGTGGTTTGTGGAGGGAAAGAAAAACAGTTCAAGATTTGTTTATGGGTAAATGGATGGTTTAAGGGAGTGTATCAAACTTGGTTTGTTAGGGCTAGACAATAGGAACTTTTTGTTCCTGGCTAATAGCAGTTTTCCTTCCAAGGAGCTCATAATGCAATTAGGCAGCTTCAGTATTTTGGAGCTCAGTAAGAGGATTTAGTACTAGAATTGGTCTAATAACTACTGAGCTGTGGTTGCAGGCTGTGTATTCAGGTTCATTAACTGCTGGAGCAGAGATTCCTCACCACGCAGGATATCCCTGCTTCCTTGGTCCCAGAGTTCACTGCAGTTCTTGCCATGGAATCTCTGTTTTCCATTCTGTGTGCTATTGGAGATGCCTCCCTGTCCCATCTTTTGTGCAAATGAGGCTAAGAGAGTTTCCTTAACCCCATCACCCTTGTGAGGAGGGGGGAAAGGGAGGGTTTACATGCTTCTTTCCTGGTCTTTTCATTGATTTTTGTAAGTCTTTCTTCTGATCAGCTTTGGCGGTATCCTTCTGACAGGTTGGATACTGTGCCCTGGTTCCCAAAGAACACAGAGCTGGTAGGTAAAACCTCAGCTACAACAGTCAAAGAACATTGCAAACATCACACGACCTGTGAATGAAAATCACCTTGTCAATTGCATTAGTAAAATATTGTCTGATTATGTCAATTGAAAACTTTATTAGTATGTTTAGATTAAATTGTTTGTTTGCTTGCAGGTACATTTTGTGACTGCAACTGCCATCATTTTTTGGGAAGAGGAGGGGGGAGATTAAAAGCCACTCTAAATGGGAAATGTGAAGAAAAAAAGGTGGTCAGATGAGTGTTTCTCTCCCACTTTTGGAACTTCATTTGTTGTTCACACTGGGCCAGATTTAGTTCCCAGTGAGCTAATGGGAGATTTTTTTATTCAACACCAATTGGAGCAGCATAGGACTAATATGTGCATTTTCCTTTGCTTCAGCCTGGACAAACCCTCTCTGCACCATATCTTTTGCCTTTGGAAAGACTGTGTGTAAGGAATGTTGATTCTCCAACTATCAAGTGGCCAGCCAGATCTCTGCACACACTGCATCCTTCAATCCTTTATTATCAAGGAAGCCCACAGCTGGTAGTACAGCAACATAATCACTTTGGTTCCGAGAAGAAAGATAAATTCCTCAGAAGCTAATTGGATAAGATGGATTAATGGCCTTCCTGGAGCTAAGCCAAAACAATGCAAAGAACATTAAAGCAAGAATTATGCATTTCCTGCAAAATCCTTCCAGTGAAACAGACAAAGCCACTAATGCTGGAGCTATGGACCTAATGTTATGATTGAACATCTATGACTGACCTTAAAGAAACTGTAGCTTCGTTGTGCTTTTGTAGCTTTAAAGACATTTATTCACTGTCTGTGTGTTTATATCCTAATATAAAAAGGTCCAAGAGAAATGGCTGAGTTCTCATGATGGCAACAAGCCATCCCCAGTAAAGGAGGCAGTAATAGCCTGATGGGATGTAAATGCTCAGCATCCTTGCTTAATTTAGATTTGGGGTTATAGAAACCACCATTTTTTAAAGCAAAGACTGTTGGCAGATAAATGGAGCAAGCACTTTCTACAAAAGGCACATCATAATATGCCAGGCTTTTGTGAGAAGGAGCCAGATTTACAGGGAGCAATGCCAGCTGTTTACCATCCCAGTCAGTGGCCACACACCCCACATAGTCTAGGATTAGCAACCAAGAAACTATACTAGTTAAACAGGGATCAATCTACTAGGAGTAGAACGGGGGTCTCCTTGAAACTGGATACAAGAAGTAGCTCAAAAATGCTTGGTTTAGCCCAGAAGAGGCCACATAGAATACAAGGGCATAGTATTTTGTGAGGCTATGCCTAACCACAATTTGATCCCAAATATTTGAGCAAGACCCACCAGACAGGCATGTAAGACACAGAATTCACAGAGGATAGGTTCTTGTGTCCAGTATTCAGCCTTCAACTGTGGCTAATCTTTGATACTTCAGGGGAGAGTAACTCCCACCCTACCCTATCTCCTGGAATATAGATAGTTAATTTTGCATGGGGGAAGGCAAACATTCTTTCTTGACCCCATCAGGCAACTGGCTGAAGCACTGAAGCATTAGAGTTGATCATTTGAATTCAGAACTTCAACTCCAGAACTGTTATGGCAATGTTGAGGGCAATGCAGGCAGTCCTGTTCTCCCCCAGTTCATGAAGAGAGGGAACGAACAGGGGGATTCATAGATTGATATATAGATTCCAATACCAGGAGTGATCAGCTTGACCATCCAGCTTGATCCCTGCCCATAGGCAGGAGAATTGCTCCCAGACATATCTTCTAGAACAATACCTAGTCTCCTTTTAAAAATCCAAGTGATGGCAAGTCCACAGCCTCCCCTGGTAAACTGTACCAATGTTTAATTACCCTTGCTGCTAGGAAACTGAATTTCATTTTAAAGTGGATACGCTCCCCACTACCAGATATAGTTTTCCATGTGACTGTACCTATACACATGATGAAGTCATCTTTAGCCCTTCAATAAGATGAATAAGTTGATCTCCTTAAGACTCCCATCATAAGACTTGCTTTCTAGCTTCTGGGTCATTTTTGTGACTCTCCTTAGAATTTTCTACAATATTTCTACATGATTCTTCCTGTAGCATGGATGTCAAAAGTGGGGACAGTACTCTAGTAGTGGTCTCACCTGTGCTGTTAAAGTGGCAAGATCATTACCCTATTTCTGTTTTACAGTCCGCTCTTTATACATCCAAGGATCACATTACATTTTCAAAAGAATGACACTGTAAGTTGATGTTGAGGGAATTACTTATAAAGAACCTTAAATCCTTCTCTGAGTTATTTTTTTTCCAAAACAGAGTCTCCTTGCCTGTAGATACAACATTCATTCTTGTTCCCAGATGCATTAGCTTGCATTTGTTGTGTTACATCTCATTTTGTTGGATTTGTCCATTTAACCAGGCAATTCAAATCACTCTCTAACAATCAGCTGTCCTCTTCATTATTGTCACCTCACCAATCTTTGAAGACTTTGTCATCTGCAGACTTTATCAGCAAAATATACATCATGCTCTAGATTGTAGATAAAAATGTTGAATAGCATTGGACCAAGAACCAATCCCTGGAGGTCTCTGCTGGTAATAACCCCATTCATTGAGATCTTCCTATTACCAACTTCATTTTGAGATTTGTCAGAGACACAGTGTTTAATCCAACTAAATAAGTGACCTGTTAAATTCCATACGATTAAAGCTTTTTCATCAAAATGCTAAATGGTATTAAGTCAAATGCCTTAGGGAACTCCCAGTATAGTTTATCAACATAGTTGCCTTTATCAACCCAATCTGTAATCTTCTTTAAAATAATAAAAAAGGAGTATAGATTTGTTTGACAAGATTTAGCTACCAAGAAATAATGCAAACCAGCATTAGTTATAGTTTAAGACTCTAATTTTTTGTTGATGGAGATCCAAATTAATCATTCCATTAATTTACCTGGGATTGATATCAAGCTAATAGATATACAGTTCACTGGGTCATCCTTTTTACCTGTTTTAAATAGTAGAATTACATATGTAGTCCTCAAAACCTTTGGAATTTCCCCAGATTTCCAAGGTTTATTAAAAATTAACAGCTAGTTGATTGTAAATTATCCAGGCCTTTTGATTTGAAAATATTTAATTTTAGCAAATCCTGCCTCACAACCTCCTTTGTTACAGATGGTAAACTTTCTATTCCACCTACACCATCATATGGGATGGATATATCCTCCTACTTCATTCTAAATACAGAACAGAAATATCTATTCAACATTTCTGCCTCTGCATCATTATTTTCAATTTTACCATCTGCATCTAGCAATGAATCTACATCTGAAATAAAAGGGAGTTTGGGTTTTGTTTTAATATATTTTCAAAATGCCTTATTGTAATTAACCCTACTGGCCATTAATATTTCTTTGATTCCTTTTGCATCCCTTATCAGTCACCTATGTTTCCTAGCTTATAATATATACTCTATTACTACTCAACTTTGGAAGCCCTGGGGGCCACAATGATACTCATAGCACATGCTCTCTTAAGTGTGGTTGAATATACATGCAAATATATATGCAAATAGCTTCTTTCACACTGACGGGCATGAATACAAAGATTAAGGCAAGACTACACAACACACAGGCCCCATTTAAGTCAGTTCTGCTGATATTAACAAAATGCAATATTTACCCAATTTCCACCCATATGACAGCACTTTTAATGAGCAATGACAGTCCAGGAATGTAACTACTAAAACGCATACCAACAGAAGATCATTATATTGACTCACCATTATGGAGTGTGTTCCCAGTGGAGGCCATGTTCAAAGGATCCCACCTGCAGGCCGTGTGTTGAGCCCTGCCCAAACTGCACCACGGGCCACAAACAAACAGGCCGCAGGCTGCATGCGGCCCACAGGCCATGTGTTGAGTAACCCTACTCTACTATCTATAGTTACCCAATGTCATGCATTACTAAAAGGTTTGCACTTAGGATAACATTGTATAGACATGAATTACATTCCCAGCATCCTTAATACTTACGCAAAAAGAAAATACATTAGCAGGTGAATTGTATATAAACTCTGCTCCTGGGTATATGTAGGAACTGTCAGAGATAAGATGTATGTCTTGCTAAGGCCTGTCAAATTGCACTTTGCGCTGGTACAGAGTGATAAGGATTGTTGGTATGATGTCTCTGTGACTTGAAAAATATGTTCAAAACAAAGACAAGAACCAGCAAGAACACTCTGTGTTATACATTTTATTTATTTATGTATGTATCTGTTTGTTTGTTTATTTATTTATTTGTCCAGCTAATGAATGCTGCAGGTCTAGTCTTCTGAAATTTAATTTGCAAAGTGTTAATCCTGCCCTTTCTATGCATGTGACAAATGAAGCTGATTGAGCCTTGGTTATTTGATGTCTCATCAATAATTTAAATTGAATCCTAACACTACTTCCCCTTTTTGCATCTTCATATATTGATTTTTTTTATTGCTGCTTCTTGTCAAACAAACTTTTTACTGCCTGTGGAATTGTGGCTATTGGAGCCTTCTAGCAGGATGTCTTTAACAATTACCAGTTTTTCTTAGCACTTCCCACTTTAAATGCATGTTCTTAGTCAGTTATGCTGGCAATTGCTTTAAGATTTGGCAAACTGCCCCTTTTAAAGTTCCAAATATACATATCATTGGCTGGTACCATAATCTGCGTGCACAAAATAGATGTAACCAGATCATGGTCACTAGAATCGAGATCAATGTTTTTCAAATTTGGGTCATGAGGCAGCTATGGTAAGCTGCTGGTGGACCCATGCAGCCTTGTTTACTTAATGTGTCACGAAGCCTCACTGCTCTCATTGGCTGCAGTTCACCATTTCCAGACAAGAGGAGCTGCAAGGCTCAGTGGCTACAGACACACTAAGACAGGGGTCTCCAAACTGCGGCCCGGGGGCCGGATGCGGCCCGCGAGGGCCTCTCATCCGGCCCGTGGAGACCTTTTTGGATTCAAAGGCAGAAGAAGTGAGATTGTTTCAAAACCCATTTGAAGCAGATGTGGCCAGTTGCCCAGATGAACTGCAGCTGGAAGTCATTGAGTTGCAAGCAAATGACCTCCTTAGGGACAAGTTCAAAATAGGACTGGTGGGTTTTTACCAGTTTTTGCCCAAGGAAGACTTTCCTAATGTCAAAACTTTTGCATCAAGGTACCTTTCAATCTTTGGAACAACATACCTGTGTGAACAAACATTTTCAAGAATGAAATACGTGAAGAACAATTTGAGAACAAACTTGTCCGATGATAATCTCAGGTCACTGTTGATGTTAGGGACAACAAATCTAAAGCCAGAAATGTCTGCTATTTTGGCATCCAGGAAACAATTTCACCATTCACACTAATACAGGTGTTCATGTGTAGTGTATGAATGTGTTATTAAATAATAACTGAATAAAATAATATTAAATAAATAATTAAAAACAACATCCATGTTTTGATTGTTTTTTATTTGGACCTCAAGTGTGTAGTCGGCCCCCGCACTGCTGTTTGATAGTTAATGCGGC